GACTGGTCAGATAAGACTTCCTGAACAACACTGAGAAAGTTATTTTTATTTACTGTGGACAAAGAGAGTATTTTAGCCCCTCCCCTTGCTTGTAGGCGCAGCAAGTTATCATACTGGTCAAAGAACACAGGTACACCCACTACAGGCACTCCATGATACATAGCTTCTTGAAGTCCATTTGTTCCCCCATGAGCCACAAACAGTCTTGTTTTGGGGTGTCCCAGGATGTCATTCTGAGGAATCCAGTCCACAAGTAAAGTGTTGTTTCCCAGTGAGGCTGGTATGTAGCCTTTATGTTTCCAGATGACTTTCTGTGGCAGTTTAGCAAAAGCTGCTGCTATGTCATCTGTCAAACCACGAGGAAGTTCATTCACAAATGTCCCCATAGACATGAGGATAACTCCATGGTCTCCAGAGCTTTGAATAAAGTCCTCTATTTGTGCAGGGAGTGGGTTAGCAGGTTTACACTGGAACCCTCCCATATAGACCACATTAGGCATTGTGGGACGTGGAAACTCAAACACAAAGTCCACTCTCATTAACCAGATTTCAGCATCAAGAACTAAATCGTTAAAGTTGATGCTTGGTCCAAAATATTTTTCAGACAGTTGCTGATATGTGTGCATCACAACAAGAGAGTACTGCGTTTGTGTGATGACATTTAAAATCACATTATTGACCCTCTGCAGAAAAGTCATCTTATCAGTATAGGCAGTTCCTGTTAAAGGGATATATGAGATAGGGGAAGGAGCAAGACATGAATGTGCATCTTTTGTAATAACCCAGCGAACATTATAGACCAACGGAAGATTTAAATATTTGCCTAAAATGACACCACCTCCCCAGGCAGGATCAGTTAACATGAGATCAAAATTGCTGGCCTTCATGGTCTGAATTAGCCCATCATTATTAAGAATTGCTGCCACAAAATTACACACATTTTGGTGAAATTCAGCAAACGTGCTGAACATCCCTACTGATACTTTGAGAAAAGTCATCAATGGAAGTTCACCACTTTGAAAATCCATGACATTTTTAACGATCTTTGTTATATACTCTTTGTTAACCACACTTCCTTCCACTGGAACAGTAATAGTCGTGTAATAAGATGAGCTCTCTTTGATGTACCAGCTGTGAGTGGATCGTATGACAGTAATATTGTGGCCTCTAGAGTGCAGTGCCTTTATTATGATATCCATGTTTATCCAATGACTTCCATCAACTGGAAATACCAAAATATTACCGCCATCACAGTCTCTGAGTCCGGAAAGAAGAAAGAGAAGCATGGCACTCCAAAAACAAGACAGCTTCATCTGAAAGATAAAGCAATCGCAAATTCTCTTCAGTTAAGTTAAATTTCATGTCAGGATATTTCCATAGGGCAAAGGCTAATTCAGCGCTCAGTCTTTTATAAACAAATTCAACACTGTAGTAGCCTATGTACATCCTATTTAAATGTTTAAGTTATGGCTGAAGCTAAATGTAATAGATTTGTGTCATCTTCACTAAGGCGTGACTTGCGGTTCAACTTCCCTAAAGTCAGTTCTATATATCCCCTTATACCCTTGCTTGCAGCACAAATTCAAACTTTAGACTATGCCTTTTCCGTATGCCATTTCGTCAACAACTTCCTACGCCCTTTCGTACACTTTTCCTGCGGAAAGGCTCGTGATAGGTCTTCATACTGCCTGTATGCCTTGCACATAGGTGTTCCCCTGAAAAGAGTACTTACAATTTTGTCAGAAGGGTAGCAGTCCAGACACGTTCCCACACTGCAAAAGCTGTGTGCTAAAAGTGGCTCCAAGAAAGGATCTGAATGCAGTAATCGTGTCTTCTAGCCTACTCGTCGAAGGCTATTTCAGAATTCTTTCAGTTCAGAATTTTAGGAGAACAAAAGCCGGAACAGTTACTCTGGGCCTCAGAAGTAAGCTGAACTGGGTTCAAGAGTTGTTTTGTTACCGTACTCTGCACCGAAACAGTTAACACTTCTGACTCCAACCCCAGCACTACTGTTGGATTGTGATTGGTTTTGGCGTTTTGTGAAGCCGATGCGCCTCTTCCGACTTTGGAGCGGTGCCATCCGTAAACTATAGTGCGCAAGATGTAGACTATCGCTTTTAGAAATAGGACACGTGTATGACATAAGTAACAGCTTGCCAGCAACATTGTGAGCAGCCTAATTTTCAAGTTATATTTTTAGCTCAGTTGTGCCAGGTATCTTGACCCATAATAGGGAAACGCGTGCATCACTAGGTCGGTGACACCGGTAATACACTGGTTGTGGCTATGGAAGTAGTTGAATAGGCTAGAACCATAAATGTGGCTATATGAGTCTTTTAAGACCACAGCAAATTCAGTAAAATGGGGTTCAAGTAGCAACCAATAATCGTTATGGTCAGTCTCCACCGTGGCTACAATTTTTATTTTAAGCTGTCCTGGACATAGTTTGCCGTAGCCCTAAATTTAAAAGGTAAAAAGTCGGTATGAATAGGCTACCCAGAAAGCTATATAGACCCTGTGGATAAGAATATGTTATTCTTCTATTCTGTCATCTCTAAAGTAAACCCACTCAGGCTGGTATCAATGCTGCAAAATGATCAGGGATACTGTGAAGGAGGGGGTGGGGTGGGCTCATATCAGAAGAGGAAGAGGGGGTGGAGACAAAGATGGGGCTTGCCTTGTATTCACAATTGAAGAAAGCTCTGAGTGAAGCATCATCATCATCATCACCAGGCAGCGAAAGGAAACTGCATGGAGGAAAAGAGGAGCATCGAAGCAACCCTGCTTCTGTCGTGAGCGTGCCCTGATGACAGAGCCTTGGGCAAGGTATGCTCACACACCATTTGTTTGGGCAACTGTGATGTGCGCAGATGTTAAGCTATGGTACGGTAGGTTAGCAAGGTGAAAGACGAGGAAGGGTATTTCTTAGTCTTCATTTCAAATGCTGTATTTTATGTGAGGTTATCCATGATGCTGAGATGTCTGTTTTTATTCATACATCCCATTCTCTGTATTTAACATAGATTCATATAGTCATTATCAGAGACACTGTAGCTATCCCTGTGGTAAATATAATAGGGTAAAATTTTCTCCTCAGACATTATATGTGTAAATACGGTGTGTTTGTTTTGTAGGACAATAAAGCTTGTTCTGCGAGAAATTGGTGCTTTCACTGATATGATGGTGAGAGCTGGAGGAGCAGACACCTCCGGCACATCGCTGCTCCTCCTGCTGCTCCTGTTCTCCTGTAACCACCTGTGCCACTCACTGCGTAAGTTTACACTCATCCATACACTCATCCATACACTCATCTATTCATTAAAGGGATATGTACATTTTGTGTATGACTTATATGGAATTGGAGGGGATTGCTAATGATTGGCTTAGGCTATAGGCTGACAGTTAAATAAATTGACATTGAAAGTTGACCCTTCTTTAGGAATTATAGTAGAATCAAATAAAATAATATAATAATAATTAGTATTATGATCCTCAATATACTTAGTATTTCTGTATGTCTCTCAGTGTTGTGCTTAGTGGTACTATGGGGTCATTTGTTCCTTTTCTCTAATTTTCCATTATTCAGTTACTACAGTGTTTAACATTTTATTTATTTACAACCATTAGGCTATATAATGTTAACATATTATGTGGCAGTTTCTATACTTATGTGTTTTGTCTTTTTCTTTTGTCCAGTTCATCAGGATTCTTGAAATATATCTTTGGAGGCAACAGAGATGATGAATTTGTTGATTTCCTACTCAGTGACTGATGGTGTTATAGCCTTTGTCTATATTGATCCACGTTTGTGTGACAGCATGCATTTGTAAAGCCCCTGTAGCTGGGCTTCAGCCACAATCTTTCTCCATAAATTAAATTTATTACTGCGATGGTGACCCACAGAGGGGGGAAAGGATTTTATTGCATATAAAAAAAAAAGGATCAATATTTTATTTTCTCTTTCAGCCCAGTTTTGCAAAATACTCTGCTGAGTTATAGCACTTACTAGCTTCAGCATAATCCATTTCAAAATAACTTCATAATGTAACTATTCCACATAATGCACATCATGTAAAATTACTTAAAATCGCTTTGCATAATGTAAATTACGACTTTCTGTAATATGTTGACCTAACAAAACTGTTTGTTGGAAATTCCTGTTGGTGCTGCATTGTTGTGTTCTTCTACAGATGTCTGTCTAAATATTAGAATCTGAGTAACACATCCTGTGAATTTGAAAGTGTCTTTTCAATTTAATTTTTTGTTGTTGTTATTTTAGGGGTTCCAAACCTCTCTTCTTATGCAAAAGCAGAGGACAAGCTTTTTAAATACCTCTTTGGCAACTATCAGAAATGGGTTCGTCCAGTTGAGTATCTGAACCAGACTATTAATGTGAAGTTTGGACTGGCTATCTCTCAGCTGGTTGATGTGGTAAAAATGATCATATTTATAACTTTATTAAACTATATGAACTGGAAAAGTATTAACTTCACTATTATTTATAACTATTATTTTCTTTTTTTTGTTTGTATGGGTTGATTTTAGGATGAGAAAAATCAGCTTATGACAACCAATGTGTGGATGAAACAGGTATTTTTCCTTTCATAGTTTTAACTTATGCACTGTTCTGATAATATCAGACCAAAAGAATACAGCAAATCAGACCATTTGTCTTCTGGCAATTTACAACACTTTTTGAAGCAATTTTTATCTATTCTGGTAGCATTTCACTGACAGTTAGATTTAGGGACATATGGCTCTCTGCCCACACACCTGCCGCTAGTACTTGTCTCCTGTATGTTTCCCTGTCACCCTTATTCATGATCTTGGTTGTCTTGAGTGTCATCCATTTTGTAAATTATGCCGGTTCTATTGTTTTTAAGTCAATTCTTAGCTTTCACATTGATTCATTACATTGTGTGAAATTATGAAATAGACGGATGTCACTTGTTTAATGAAAATAATAGGATTCTTTTTGTGAATGAATTGTCAATGTCATCTTCACTTTGTATATTTCTTATTGCCTCATTTCAGTTCTCCTCTTTTGTTTTGCTTGAAGGAATGGACAGATATGAAACTCAGGTGGAACCCAGAAGACTATTTAGGAATCACAGCCGTCCGAGTTCCCTCTGACAGGATATGGCTCCCAGATGTTGTGCTGTATGATAAGTATGTCACATGTTATTTTGCTGATACATCATACATACCTTACATATTTCTCTAATATAACCACCATTCACAGTTGCTATTATTATTACCAAAATTATGTATGTTTGTATGGATGGCCTTACTCCATTTGTTATTATTAGAAAACGTGCTAAGTCTTAATTAGATACTCAAATGAAAACCAGAACAACCTGTCAGAGCAAATACTGATTTGCTCTTAAAAATCTATATAATGATCAATTTTAAATCTACAGTTCAGATGGTCGTTTTGAAGGTACAGTAACCAAAGCTGTAGTGAAGTATGATGGGACTATAACTTGGACACCTCCTGCCAATTACAAGTCTGCCTGCACTATAGACGTCACATTCTTTCCCTTTGACCTCCAGAATTGTTCAATGAAGTTTGGCTCGTGGACATATGATGGCTCACAGGTTAGTATTTACCTTGAAGGTATTATTACATTAAAAAGTAGCACAAATAAAATATTTTTGTCTTCCAGGTTGACATAATTCTGGAGGACTTCCATGTGGACAAACAGGACTATTTTGACAATGGTGAATGGGAGATTGTCAAAGCCACTGGCAGCCGTGGTTTAAGGAGAGATGGCAGTACTTCCTACCCCACTATCACATACTTCTTCATCATTCGTCGACTACCTCTTTTCTACACCCTGTTCCTCATCATCCCTTGTATTGGACTATCTTTTCTCACCATCCTTGTTTTCTACTTACCGTCCAACGGTGGTGAGAAGATCTCACTCTGCACTTCAGTTCTGGTCTCTCTCACTGTTTTCCTCTTAGTTATTGAAGAGATCATACCTTCCTCATCCAAGGCCATCCCACTCATTGGAGAATATTTGGTGTTTACCATGATATTTGTTACTCTTTCTATAGTTATCACTGTATTTGCCATAAACATACACCATCGCTCCTCATCAACACATCATGGCATGGCACCATGGGTCAGAAAGATATTCCTGCATCGACTGCCTAAATTGTTGTGCATGCGCAGCCATGTGGATCGATATGCCACCAGCGGAGTGGCCGGGACTATTGGGACTCTAGGACTTGGTCTGGAAGGTTCCTCTCCAGAACTCACTCCACTTCTCAACAAAAGACAGAGCCTACAAGCAGCACTGGATTCCATTCGCTACATAACCATGCATGTGGTAAAGGAAAATGAAGTTAGAGAGGTAATTGTTAATATGGCCATTTGAATTCACTTTAATGGTAGTTTTCAGAATGTGATGTCACAGACATATTTTGATGGTGACATATTTTTAAGCTAATTTCTTATTATACCACATCAATACTTATTTATGATTTTTTTCCCTTTTTCTACTAATCATATGTCTATAGAACATGTCATCTGAAAACCATACACACAAATAAAACCAATGCCAGTTTCCATTTTGTACAAGTTGTTTACACTGGAGGAGATAGTTACTGATTAAACTTTAGGTTACTGGTGTTGAGCTGGCATGCATCCAAGACAGTATAAACATGTAGGGTAAAAGCCGAAATCTTATCTCAGAAACAATTCACCAGTCACACATGACAAGTTACTACAAAGTTGACTGTTTTGAAAATGATTGATCCAGGCTCTGTTTGCTTACCATTTCCATTTCTAAATTGGGCAATATACAGTATGGTATATTATTATGTTATGTTGTATGTGCTTGTTTATAGAAACCCTGCTGTATATTTAAAGAGGTGCTTTCTCTGCAGGTGGTACAGGACTGGAAGTACGTTGCCCAAGTGTTGGACCGAATGTTTCTCTGGGCCTTCCTCCTGGTATCAGTGCTTGGTTCTGCCCTGCTCTTCATCCCAGTTATCTACAAATGGGCCAGCATTGTTGTTCCTGATTATAGTGGAAGTACTCTTTAAAAATAAAACCATGTGAACAGCATATATAAAAAGCACACACCTCATGATGGAGGAGGCTGTTTGAGGACACTAGGAGCAAGGTGCAATCTGCAGATGTTATGATTTGTTTTTTGAGTTAGAGTCTACTGTTTCAAACAAATTGAAAAGTATAATATATATTACAATAAAACATCTGGACTATATATGCGATTCAGTGTTGAGATAAATTCTATAACCTGTGCTCAGGGGCAGACTGGCAATCTGTGCGTTCTCTCTCCAGATTCCTCAGTTTCCAACTTCCCGAATTGAGCGCCAACCCCCACCCCCACCTTGGTCCTCAATTTTCACCGTAGGCCGATTTGTGGGGGAAAAGTCCATAGCTGTTTTTTGGTCCCTGTCCGTCACTGTCTGTGCTGCAACTTAACATGCTCTAACATGATAACTACAAGTGTATTTAAGGCATAGGTTGTTCTGTCAGTTTTTTACAAAGGGTTTTTGTTACCGGATAAGAAAGGTCCTCTTAAGAACCTAATCTTCTTACATAAACTCTGGTATTTTATGCTGGTGTGAAGAACTCTTTCTCACCATTTACAGATAAACAGAGAACTGGCTCCTACTCCAAAGTAAAAAGGTTAGTTTTGCACAGTAGTTTTCATAATTTGTATATTTTATAACATATTCATTAATGATATGTAATTATTTCAGGGAAAAGATGGCACATGTTCAGAGGAATTCTAAAGATAATGTATTCTTTTTAATTTTTCTGTCCATGTTGTGGAGTACTTACGATTGTGGCAAGATTCTCATTGTTCCTTTGGAGGGGAGTCATTGGATTAACATGGACATCATAATCAAAGCTCTTCACTCTAATGGGCACACCATTACAGTTGTACAGACTACAAAAAGCTGGTACATCCCAGACAACTCCAAATATTTCAATACAGTCACAGTTCATATTGAAGAAGCCTTCAATCATGATTTTATGAATCCAATACTGGAAAAGATTTTTGCTTTGGAGAGAGGGGGAGGTTCTTTTATGACCTTTGCAAGTTTACAATTGGAGATGTTTACGGCAATGTATGACATGCACAGTCTCATCTGCAAAATGGCAAGGAGCATGTTCACGGATATAGATTTGATGAAGCGTCTGAATCAGAGTAAATACGACTTGGTGCTCACTGACCCTGCGTGGGGGGCTGGAATTATGCTTGCTCACTATCTTAAATTACCATTGGTCTATAATGTACGCTGGGTTACAAGTGGAGAGGGGCATTTGGCTACTGCACCTTCACCTTTATCATACATTCCCATGACTATTTCAGGACTGTCTGATAAAATGACTTTTGTACAGAGACTCATCAATATCTTGTTCTACCTTTTATGGCAGGTGCAGGATACGTTCTTAATAGACCCACAATATCAAGCAGTGTGTACAGAGTTCTTTGGACCTAAAGTTAGATATAGGCATTTGTTACAGGGGGCAGATATCTGGTTAATGCGAGTGGACTTTGTGTTTGAGTTTCCACGTCCCACAATGCCTAATATGGTCTATATGGGAGGGTTCCAGTGTAAACCTGCTAAACCACTCCCTCCACAAATAGAGGACTTTATTCAAAGCTCTGGAGACCATGGAGTTATCCTCATGTCTATGGGGACATTTTGTGAATGAACTTCCTCGTGGTTTGACAGATGACATAGCAGCAGCTTTTGCTAAACTGCCACAGAAAGTCATCTGGAAACATAAAGGCTACATACCAGCCTCACTGGGAAACAACACTTTACTTGTGGACTGGATTCCTCAGAATGACATCCTGGGACACCCCAAAACAAGACTGTTTGTGGCTCATGGGGGAACAAATGGACTTCAAGAAGCTATGTATCATGGAGTGCCTGTAGTGGGTGTACCTGTGTTCTTTGACCAGTATGATAACTTGCTGCGCCTACAAGCAAGGGGAGGGGCTAAAATACTCTCTTTGTCCACAGTAAATAAAAATAACTTTCTCAGTGTTGTTCAGGAAGTCTTATCTGACCAGTCATACAGGGAGAACATGCAGAGACTGTCCAGGCTCCACAGAGACCAGCCAATACAGCCGCTCAACAGCGCCATCTTCTGGATAGAGTTTGTCATGAGACACAAAGGAGCAGCTCATTTGAAATCCGAGTCCTACAGAATGCCATGGTATTCTTATTACTCTATCGATGTGATTGTTGTTTTGTCAGCAGTTCTAGCCATTTCATGTCTTCCCCTACTATGTTGTAGAGGTGGCTGTGCAGAGAAAAAGCTAGAAAAGTTCAAATCACACTAAAGTTTGTTAATCGTAATAATTCTGCACTTTGATTCTTTTTCACTTTGAACGAACAAGCAAACTCATACTCTAAACACATTTTTGACAATAGGCTGTGGATATTTAATTAACTTCTAAACTTGGGTGTTCCTTGCTCCCCCTGGCGGAAGTTCTTAAATTGCACACTGAGCACTGTTCACATTTACGCATTTTCACACATTTTAAACATAATGGGAAAAGAAATGTACGTGGTTAATGCGAAATTATAGTACAACTTATGCTTGTGCAATAAAAAGTATAATCTACGTGTACATGCATGTAGCTACATGCTAAGAGATTTTGTTACAACGCCAAAAAGTCTTTTCAAAATGTATTTTTTATAGTAAAGAATAGAGTCTATGAAAGTAAAATGAAAGTCATAAAAGAGTAGTTCTTAACGTGCACTCAAAATCTAGGCCACAAATAGAGTTACAGTTCTTTATAATAAAAGTTTTACATTTTATGATTTACTTAAACCAATACCATAGTTAAGTGATAAATATCCACCAGCAAGTAATCAATTTATAACTGTGTACTTAAAGAACTAAAACATCCATAATTCCACATTTAATACTTTTTCATATTTTAATTCAAATGTTTAATCAATAGGTTTGTTAAAAGTTGTTTTTTAACAGAGGAGACTGATTCAATCTCTTTAAGCTTAAGTTTAATCATAACTAAGTTTTAAGCACATCAAAATGAATACTGAAACACGAGTAGACCTAAGTTACTTCAAGGAATAGTCTAATGTTAGAATGGAAATAAAATAGGCCATTTCTGTTCATTCATACATCTGTCACAGTGTTACAAAATGCAGTCTTGTTAATTCTGTAATAAAATGTAACATTAAAAAAAAGAAAAAACATTTCACTTTTTAACACTTCTCTTCTCTACACTCTACTCTACAAGTCTTTTTGCAAGTAGCATATGGTGATGTATTGGGGTTTCCATCCGAGGGACCTGTTGTTGAGAAGAACAGTATTTTGAGCTATTACAGCTATTATATTATTAGAATGACTTCAGATATACAATATTCTAGTTTAGTCTAGGGTTTTCCATGACATCTCACTGAGAATAATATGTTTTTATGAAGTCCATAATGTCATTACAAATATAATTCTATGAACTTGGACATCAATAACAGTCAACTACCTTCAGAAGGCAAGACATCATCATACTCAGGGACAATGTCAGATGCGTAACTGTAGGGGTCATCTGTCCCCAAATTTTGATACCTGAGAATTGCAAGTATCTTGTTAGATTGGATAAAATTAAGAAAGCACAATACATATATTTTTGAATTATTACCAAGAAATATCTTCATCATCAAAGGAATCTTCTGTAAAGCAAACATAATGATACTGGTTTACATACATTCTGTGTTAGCTATTATATATATTTTTCCTCAATTGTTTTGATTCTCAAACCTTGTGCATCAGAAGGTTCTCTTTCTGTGTTCCTCTGGAGTTCTGTTACATCCCTGCTATTAACTTGTGAATGCTTCACACTGGCAGCAATAAAATAATAAATTCAGCTCTTAAACTAGTGAATTTATCTACTTTGTAAATCAAGGAGAACAAGATCTCACCATGAAATGCCAGCACCTGTTGAGGTGTCACATGTACAGTTATTTTAGGATATTTAATCACTTTAACAGAATGCAGGTATATTATAGCGTACCTCTTCTCCACATTGCACAAAGACATATACCCAGAAGTAACATCACTGTTATTACTACAAAAAACGCTGTTAGTCCAAGAGGAAAACCTTCAAAGGAGAATTGAAACAAATGGTTGAGCTTATACCTTAAGCTGCATTGAAGACATTTGTGCCATAGCCTTTCTTAAACCAAATATTATTCTTATTTAGAAAATGGTTCATTCAGCCCAATTCATACAGTTTTGTTCTGCTTAAGTCGTGATTTATTTAGTCTTGCGTTTACAGTCCTACTGTTATTTAAATTATTTAAAGATGCAGTATATAACCTTTTTGGTAGAGGGTCCACTAACAGTGCATCGTTTAACACAAAGCCTTTATATCATCCCAGTTTTATGTAATGTAAAACCTATTTCAATTCTTAAGATTTTGACTTGAGTGGTGTACTGAACTAACCTTTGACTTGAAGATTGATTGCATTATTTCCAGTGAGCCTTTCTTCGTCCTCCTTGAAGCAATGAGAAGGCCGAACCACACAGGTGTACAGACCTGAATCTGTCTGCACAGCATCTTGTATCAGAAATCTAGCCTCTCTCTTCTTCACATCAAACCCCTGCACTTGGTAAACGACCCTATCTCGCATCAGGTATGACTGGATGGAGCTGCAATTATCAATAGTTTGTAGAACCTCTGGATGAGAACATGTAAATTCAACTTGTGCTCCTTGGCTGACTGAAGATGGCCCAGATAGTGACAGGTCAGCAGGTTGAAAGTTGGCTGCAAGAGAGATATAAGTTTTACAAAATAAAGAATAATTATTGGATACGAATAAATAAAAAATATTTGTATTACTTCTGCTATATTTACTACCTTCATGAACATACCAAAAATACTGTAAAAATGACAAATGGAGAAGTAAATTACATAAATAATAATACAAGTATTGTATATACCTATGACATGAATTAGTATGGTGTTTTTTCCTGTGGCTTTGACCTCAGAAGGTTCATACTCCTTCTTGGAGTAAACGCAGCTGTATCCACCGCTGTCTTTCTGTGTAACTTTGTTTAATGTGAATGTAGTATCATTTTCCTCAATTTTTTGGATCAGTCTTTTGACCCCAGTTCCATTATTACATAAATAAACAGAGACGTCTGTGTGTTTCATGGATCCAAAAGTGCTGCATATCACATGGAGGTTACTGTTCTCACTTAGAACATTCTGTGGAACCAAAATTCTAGCAGGTATAATATCTGAAAGAACAAAGTGATTTAAACACAAATGTGTAACATACAGTAAATCTATATAAAGAAAATAAAACTTAATAAAACTTTACCAGTTTGGCTTTTCACCTCATGCATCAAAATACCTTAAAAGTACACAATTAGACATGGCGTTCTACTTAATTATAATTCAATATTGACAAATACTTACTGAACAGAATAGTGAATGCATTCATTGTGCTGGTATGAGGCAAATACAATATCTGCAGCAGAATGTTCATGTCTCAATTGAAAGGAAATTGTGGTTTCAGTTTACTTGAACAAACCCACTATACATAATAATATACATCTCATATTTAAACCTGTGTATTTATGTGTGTGGTGAGTAGCACACTGTGGGGGCTAGAGTGTATACATGCATACAGTGTGAACATGCACTCTGTAGACTAAAATCAGGTTGACAAAAATTATTTAATTGAATCAACATGATTTAACGTTGAAATATTAGGTTTTGAAAATGACTATGGTCAACCAGGTCAAGCTTCCAGGAAAAGTATGCAAGTCAATGTTGTCCCAAAGAGGCATGAAAACTCAATGTGTGTGTGTGTGTGTGTGTGTGTGTGTGTGTGTGTGTGTGTGTGTGTGTGCGTGTGTGTGCGTGTGTGTGCGTGTGTGTGTGTGCGTGCGTGTGTGCGTGCGCGTGTGTGTGTGTGTCATTAGCTAAGGCTATAGTAAGGAAAGGAAAATTTATAAATGATTGTTCTTGATACAGTAGAATAAATAATACTTCATAATTATACTTTTTTCCCATATAGGCCTACTCACAAATGTTGTTTTTTTTTTCTTCAGCATTTTCTTTTTGTAGCATCTTTCATTGGTTGTTCATGAAGCTTGTGCACTTATTGCTAGATCAGTGTAAAGTCAATATGTATCATTTGGATCATTTGTTTTCATTTCTGATTATATTATAGTGTAGTAAGTGTGTATTTATGAATTTCTGTGAGAGTATAGTTCCATGTGTAATGTCTATGCTGAGGCAGACATTTGTTTATAAAGCCACCAAATATGTTTATTCCCAGAAAATGGTTTGATGACTAAAGGAAGCCAATAATCTTTCCATCATTCTCATGTTGATTATGATTCAGTATGGAGGCAAAGAGAGCTGAGTTAGCTCCACTGGGAAGGAGGGAATGTTGAAATGTATTTATTGAGACAGCACAATGTAATATAAAATATCACCAAGAATCAAGTTTAGATATATTTAATGTATTTACATGTTATTTATTTATTTATTTATTTAAAAGAAGAAATTTGTTCCACACAAAAAAATATATTGCCCCACGATTCAATCACGCATATGTTAATGTTCATAACACGTAAATAAAATTTCCCACCACAAGATGGCACTATCATCAACATTTAACAACTTATTTTTCCTAAAAAAAAAAAAAAAAAGTGCCTGAATGGAGATCTAAAATGTTCTGACACAATTTTTTCTTAAAATAAAATATATATGTCTTTAGACCATATAAAATCTCTACCACAAAGCACTTTTTTGCCTTAGGAAAAATCCAAAAATGGTACAGTGTCTGGTCTGAGTATTTTAATGTAGTCCAAATAAGTTAAATATCCTCTCCCAGCAGCAGGGGCTGTAGGAAGAGGCCAGCTGTTCCCAGAATGCACACAAGAACGAAAACCCACAAGAAGATCCTGTCGATAACCATGGCAACATATTTCCAGTCATCTTGAACCTGCAAAGGGAAAAAAGAGAACACTTGTAGCAATAGAAAAGCTGTGCAAAGTAAGTTTTATATATATATATATATATATATATATATATATATATATATATATATATATATATATATATATATATATATATATATATATATATATATATATAAAAGTATTATTATTCCAAAAGCCTTTAGAATGTCATAAAACACAATTACTGATGAAAGAGGGACTGGCTCATTTTCTTAACAAGTCAGTATGAAAATGAATGTTATTCGAAAACCTTTGTCGCACTTATTATACCACTGACATTAACATTTACACTTACCTCCTTTGCTTCATTCTGTAACCTCATATTCTCCGCTATGTATTTGACGCTTTCAATGGCCTCTCTGACCTCTGGAGAGATTGGCAATAGAGACATCAGACCCCCATCCAGAGATTCCGAGCTGGAACACTGACTTCCTGCTGTGGTCCCGGAAGGCCCACCCCCTCCGGTCAGTGCCCCCAGGCTGCCCAGTCCGGCGCTCCCACCTCCAGAGTCCACTGGTAGTTTGCTTGACCTCTGATGCCAACAAGGGTTACACCTGTCCTCACAACACAGCATCCCAGTGGCTGTACTTTTGCCTGGAGGTCCGTTGAGGTTGTTCAAATTGGATAACTCTGTGTTGTTGAGGAGTCTTTGCCGGTTCGCAAGGCTGGACACAACGCTGCACACTAGAGCTTGTGGTTTATGTTTTTTTTGCAATGTAGCAGCCGAATGAATGGCACACGATTTTGTATGCTGAATATTATCACTGGATATTGTCACCCCATCTGGATCTCTCTCCGGTCTGGTCATAAACATAATCTTGGGTAGAAGACTCAGAAAGACTGTCCGAACCCATCGTGGCATTGTATGAGTTTTGGGTGTGCGGTAGTGGACGTTTAGGACAAAAACTGTTATTACAATGGAAAGCGTGACAAAGATCATGGTGAAAAGGAGGTATTCACCAATCAAAGGAATGACTAAAGAAGTTGAAGGGATAGTTTCAGTTATAACCAATAGGAAGACAGTTAGTGACAAAAGCACCGAAATGCATAGAGTTACCTTTTCTCCACAGTCGGATGGTAAGTAGAAAACCAGGACAGTTAGGAAGGATATTAGGAGACATGGGATGATCATGTTGATAGTATAAAAAAGAGGAAGTCGCCGAATGTATAAGGAATAAGTAATGTCCGTGTATATTTCTTCACAACAGTTGTACTTGATATCATGTTTGTAGCCAGGAGCATCGATGATCATCCACTCCCCACTTTCCCAGAAGTCTTTGAGGTTAATAGTGGATCCAATGAGAACCAGGTCTATCTTGGCTTTGTCGTAAGTCCATGAGCCAAACTTCATGGTGCAATTTTGGTAGTCAAAGGGGAAGTAAGTGACATCAATCTTACAGGAGCTTTTAAAAATGGCCGGTGGGATCCAAGTTACATCACCGTTGTAGCGGAGTAGAGCTTTGGTTTTGTCATCGACCTGAAAATCTCCCACTGCACTGCAAAGAGAAAGGAAAATGAAGAAAGAATTAATCAACACTTTTATATGTTAATAATTTAGTCATTATAAAATTGATTCTCATTCATTTGTGGAACACCAAGTGGTCCTTACAAACAAGTACACCAGTGGGCTACATAAAGCAACAAGCCTTCATTGTGACTGCATTTGACAATCAACGATGTGCTTCAGAATTTTTTTAATGTGTTGAAATCTTACTTGTTGTAAAGGACTATGTCAGGTTTCCAAATCCGGTTGGAAGGAACTCTGATGAATTCTACGCCTCCAAATTCTTTCGGATTCCATCGAAGTTTGTAGTCATTCCATATCTACAAAAGGACTGCAGGTGAAAATGGCTTATGTACTTGAATACTGATGCACCAGTCAATAAGAAAAGTAGATTTGATAGAATGCATTTTAAGTGTCTCCTAGCACTTTGTAAAGCTGAGTTCATTATTCATACACTCAACAGTCACTTTGGGAATGGTAAACTACTACAGCTCCACAGACAATGGAGACACGGTGGCTAATGTTCTTTATGTATGGAGAGGGGGCAGTAGGAGTTGAATTTGGCTTATATCTTACTGTTTCAGGACACAGAATTTAAAGATTTTTTATATTTATATGTAAAAATATAAATGCAGTCAGCATTCTTGTGGGTAAATTAGTATATTGAATACAGACAGTTTACATTAATAAGCTAACTAAGATTTTACGTTGTGTTTTATGGACCTTTTAGCTGGAGTTGTGTGACCTCCATTTTATAACAAAAGATCCTCATGAGACTCATAAACCACCCACCAGAGTCGTAACATTTTTTAAACTTAATTATAGGAAAACAATAAAACGCTGCAATGTGATGCTAAATTAAAATAGCTAGTGGGGAAAATGAACCTTCTTTTTTCTATTTGATGTATCGTGCTTCTGAGAATCCGTAGCAGTTTATGAGTTATGAGACACTGAAAATAACCATTTCCACAAAGCTACTATTATAATGGAGGTAGGCTACATTTAGACTTGAGGCTTGGTATTGTACTCAAAACAAATCATGCCAGAATATGTATTAATTATATTTAAAAAATCAGTTTATGTTTGGAACTCAGGGATCAATAAATGTTTAAAAAGACTGTCTCATGAATAATGCAAGTTATCTGTCTAGCCAAGGACAATCATTTATGACAGACACTTGGATCCATACCTAACCTTGTTCAAGGTCCATTTGTACACAGCAAACTTACATGTCTCAGCCAAAGATTTGTCTCCATGATCTGATTCACCTCATCCTGAAATACAAAGAAGAAATGCATTAATTTAATTATAAAATCTTCAAATGGAACCGCTGGAAGTTATGCTTCTTTTGTACGGGAGAACAATACAAATGAGAGCTGGAGCCAGGTTGATGGTGTGAACTGAAAAATGGCATAATGCAGACTTAATACAAAAGTAAGCAGTCCATTCATTCCTAACCCTAACAATCAAAAATATCATTACTTCAATCTGTGAAATTGAAATCATAATTGTCATCAGCTATGCATATTGAAACAAGTGGCACTAGAATACACTTATGGTAAAAATAAATGAACTAAATCTTTTACCCAAGAGCCCTCTGATAAAACAAATTTTGCTTAGATGAGTTGATTTACTGATTACAAACCCTAATGTTTTCCAAATCAAAATACCACCCGGGCCCGGGAGCATGTGGAACTATTCCCTGATTGTGCAATGATAGGTGACGCTGCTCGGGCGGATGAGCTATTTTATGGCCTAGATGAGCTGATGTAGCCTGCCGTAATTGACACAGGCTGAGCACAGCCAATTGCAACTAGGTTAGAGGCATCAGGTGTGGGATGGGGAATAACAGTCATCCATCAGCGCTGTAAGCTGCAATAAGCTATTAACTGAGCAAGCAAGAATATATATTCTTGTTTGTTAGACTGGCAGATATCCAATACAAATACTGTGACATGTGCCTTTTACATGATTACAGAATTTAACACATAATTTTATATATTTAACTTTAACTAATAAACTAGAACAACTTTGTTCTTACAATATCATTGCTACAAAGGGCTAAAAGATCTCTCGAAAAATACACAAAGCCTGCTATAAGCACAACTTTCATTTATTATGGATTGTTAAGGGATAAGAAAAGTATTACCATTAATCCCTCCCTAGTGGAACAAAAAGCGCAATTTTCTTTAAAATATTTAGAAAAAAGCTACCTCAGATCTTGATATTTTACAACCCTTTGCCTGTAAGTGAGCACAGTGTCTGCCAGATATCCAGACTCCTTCATGAGTGCTTGTCTGAAGCAGTAGTGGACGATTCATGAGTGGAGGCACAACTAAGAGCAGCAATCAAAAAGCTGACATTTTCCATCTTATGCTGCACATACCGGAAGGCATCCTCTTTACTCTGGAGATGTTATAAAGCAAAGGCTATGTCAGGTGTCTCACACTGAGCAATAAAACCCTTCATTCAAAGTAAAAGGCAATAGCTCACCACTTTGACCAGCTGTGACATGGACACTTCAAACTGCACGATGACAGGGTCAGACACATTCTCCACTGGCCGGATGTATTGATTGTAGTTAGAGAATATCACAGAGAAGAGCTTATGTTCAGCATCTGAACCAGAGGTACCTGTGGGGTCAGACATGTATATTAGCAGCTGCAGTATAGCTCTAGTTACCTTGTAGACATAGAGAGCTGCATTCTGCATATAGCAACTGCTGTATCTGTAGGTCACATAGCCCTATAGAATTCTAGGGAAAGTTTAGCTTTTTATCGGTTAATTTTAAACATTTGAAACATATTCTGTGATTTCGCTTTCAAAAAAGCAAAGCAACAAGTAGGCTATTTAAAGTTTAAAGAAAGAGTTTAACTCACCCGGCTTCAGAGATGCTAAAATCAAAGAGATGGACCAAAGAAAAGTGGCAGACTTCATCGCTGAGCAGTGGACACGGCTACATGAGCCCGCAGGATGAGAGCAGTGCTCCGTGAGGCAGACAAGAGGAGAAAGTGAGAAGAGAAAGCAGCTGTTGAGACAGAGCCGGGAGGGCAGAGGCAGAGCGTGGAGAGAGAGGCCATGGTGCGCGCCACTGTGCGTGCGTGCGTGCGCACGGTACTGCAGAGCGCGTGGGAGCGCTGCGGCTGAAGTGACCATACAATGGTGTCTTGACCTAGACCTAGGGGTGGTCAACGCACTGATAGTGTATTGCTGCAGTAGTACTATGCTATGGTAAACTCATTATGTGCAAACTGAGGTAAATAGCCTAATGTTAATAGTAGTATACATAACTTTATCACCTAGGCCTACATTGCGTTTTACCCCAAAGTAAATCTTTAACTCTGCTAGGCTGCAAAGTGCTAGTCCTCTATTCGTTGCGAATTTGAAGTGAAACGTTGACATGCATTGGGAAAGTTCCTAAGTTTATGAAACAGGGAAACTGCATAGTGGTGTGGCTATTCGAGCAATACCGGCTTGTCGCCTAACTGTACCCTATAGCCACTGATAGACTTCTGGTTGAATAGGTATTAGACGTACCTCTACACCAGAGTGAGATGGTTAGTGCGTTTGTCCTTCAGCTGGATGGCCGAAGACCACGGGGTTAACATCTCCCCTACTATTGCGCCCTCATGACTAATGTGTCCTGATGAATGATTGCATTTAGCAGAGAAGCTGATTGGCGCCTTACCTGACACCCGGACCTCTCAAAGCGGCCATGGATGTGCAATTGTTCTGTTGGGATCCATAACGATTATAATCTGGCAATTATAAAGTTATTTGACTTTCAGGATATTTTGTCATTGCTACTGAGTTGTAGGTTATGGACACAGAGTCTATAGTTATAAATGAAAAAAAAAAAAAATGAAAAGATGCCTGATAAACCCTTTTTATCTCATTAAAAAGGCCTAGTTGTGGATCTCTCAATGAACCATTTTTCAGAGTGTAAACATGAATAATCCACTCTATGTTCTTATCTAAAAATTAGAAACTCAAAGAAGAAAAAGTCGATATAATCATTACCGTATGGGAGCTATCACTTCATCCAAATGAAGATTTGACAAGAGCCTGCGGTCTGCAGAATCTTTAACGAGCCCACTCAGCACTGTTTACTGAGCAGTAAGAAATGTGTAGCTTTGTAGTTAACGGATTGGGGAGCAAAGGTGTAAATGTCATTTATAATTTTGCCTTTAGCCAAAAAGGTATTTTACTTAATGGACATACATCAGAGCAAAAAAATCAATATCAATTATTTTTTTCAGACAGTAGTTCATATGCTATTATTCCCTTTACATAAAAGAGTGAGAATCTTATGAACATCGTCTCTGTTCTTAAATGTAGTCCTTTTAAAATCATTAATACTCTTTTGAGTGCTAATGTGTAAATGTGTTTTCATGTGTGCTGCATTTTCTCTTTGGCCAGGTCACCCTTAAAAAGAGATTTAGATATATATTTTTTTTCTCTCAACTGTTAAATAACGGTAAATAAATAAATAAATAAAGCTATCTTGGACAATAGAACACACAATTTTAGTTTCATTTCAAATTTTTATATATTTAATTGTCCGCTTCCATTTATGAATTACATAATGATTGCTTTGTTACACTGTTGTTTTTTGCACAATGCAGATTTATTGTAACATGGGCAATATGGGTGGTGAGCTTTTACTGATCCACAACAGAGTTCAAAATTTTCACACAAAGTTTACATTAAACTTGTGTTATGGTGTGTTTGTTTTAATTCAAACTTTACAATCTTAGAAATCTGACAAGTTTTTTTCAGATGTAACACAGTTGAACTGATTTTATGGTTTGTTAGTTTAGTCCATACTATACCAGGATCAAATATAAACAAAGAATAGATCTAAAACCTTCTAAAGTATAGCAACTGGACTGATTACAAAGTATCACCAAAGAAGTTCAAGAAGTCCCATTGTGAGAACCTTTGGTGTAATCTGGTGTAACATCTACATTGTTTATTGACGGCATTTAAGTACAATGTACTTTTCTCTTCTTGTAAATGCAACTCATCAAATACGTGGTGTCTCTGAACTGGGCTGTTGATTGGGAATGATCTGATTCTGAAAAACAGGTTGAAGAAACAGGCCAAGTGTTCCCACTACACACACAATAACAAATATCCACAGGAACAAACGGTCCACCACCATGGCTACGTATTTCCAGTCTTCAATTACCTGCCCACAAAAAAGCATAATGGTAAATAGTCACATGAGAACAGTGGATATTTAAACAAAATTTAAATCTGGCCCTTATCGGCTGTTAACTGCCAACTGGAGAATACATAATACTATATTTATTGGAGTAACAGGGAATACTCACTCTTTTCATATATTGTGTGAGTAATTTCAATAGCCTAAAAAAATATTTGTACTTACACTTTGGTCATCATCATCTCCCATCATGTGCTCAGCCACAAAGCGCACACCGTTCACTGCCTCTCGGACATCACTGGCCCAGTCAGAGGTGCTTCTCTGATGGAGGTCTTGTGCTGAAGTGAAATCACTGGGACTATAGTCTCCTTTTCTGTTAAAGCTAAGACGAAGAGATGCTGCCAGATTTTTATGTCCTGGAGTTGAAAGGGCTGAGGAGTCAGAAGGCAGCAAGATGGAGGAAGACATAGTAAATCCCGCTTTAGGTTCAACTGGACATCCTAAGCCCAAAATGGCCCTCCTGGCTCGTAGACAGCGCTGCTGACGTAGCCTCTGCCGTGCAGAGTTATTGTTTGGCCGTCTCATGAACAGTAAAGTAGGCAGTTTGACTAAAAACACAAGTTTGACCCAAGGTGGCATAGTGTGGGTGCTTGGGGACCTATGGTGTACATTAAGCACACAAACACTTGTAATAATCGAAAATGTCACCAAGACCATAGTAAACATGAGGTACTTCCCAATCAGTGGCACATCAAGTGAGGTTGGAGGGACTATTTTGGATATCAACAACAGAAAAACAGTAAGAGCAAGAAGGACTGAGATGCACAAGGTCATCTTCTCCCCACAGTCTGAAGGCAGGTAAAAGACCAGGATAGCTAAGGAGGTGATCAGCACACAGGGGATGATGAGGTTGATGGTGTAGAACAAAGGTTTTCTCTTGATGATAAAATCATATGTGAGGTCCACATAGGTGGGATCGAGAGGATTTACAGTCCGTCTGCCAGGTAGGGCCAAGATGTCCCACTCTCCACTTGGAGTAAAGTCATCCATGCTGGCCACCTCAGACTTAAGAATAAGGTCTAGTTCTGTGTGATCATATGTCCAAGATCGAAACTTAAGGGTGCAGTTTTGTTGGTCAAAAGGGAAATGCTTCACTTCAATCTTACAAGCGCTTTTGTAGATGGCTGGAGGGAGCCAGTTTATACTGCCATTGTAAAGAACTATTACATTAGTAAACACAGTTACTTCATATGTTCCATCGGCACTATAGAATGAATGAAAGGGGAAAACAACACCTTGACAAAATGCATAATTAATTAATTTTGTTCCAAATAATTATATTTATATGAACTTACTTATTATACAGAACAATATCCGGGAGCCAGATGTGTCTTGATGGAATACGCAGCTTGTCGATGCCTTCATACTTTGAAGGATCCCAGGCTAACCTGTAATCCACCCAGTGCTATGGAGACAGAGGGAGACCTAATGTTATGGTTCATTTACTCTCAATCATTTTCTGTGACATAATTAGAGAACTGCTTTGTTCCGCACTTGAGCTAGAAATTGATATGGTTTAATTCAAGGGCATTTAGTCATTTATATGCAATGTGATATTTAATGTAACAACTGGACTTACCTGGGTGAGCCATACATTTGTGGTCATAATCTGTTCCCTTTCATTCTGAAAGAACCAGTTGGAAGATGGTCATTTGTAGTCTATATTATATGCAAGTCAAAACAACAGTATGTCGAATATCCCTTTACTTCTGTAAGTACATGTAAAATTCGCTCAAGGGTCAAGAGTTGTGAAACATATTCACTCCTAAAAACTATGTTCCATTAATTTATCAGCTCAACAAATTATTATTCATCACTGAAAATTCTATTTGAAGATGAAATTCAGTCAACCTTAGTTTGCATTAAAATAGCACTTGGAAGCCTCCGTGTGGAAATTGGTCCTGGTCATTTTATTGCTTCGACATCATGTTGCTAGGACAAAATAGTCTCAAAATCCCAAGGGGTGTGACCCAAACTCATAAAGACAGATTTGAAAAAGCATCAGTGCCTTGTAGTGCAGATGGGGAGGAGCCTTCACAGTAAATCAGTGCACTGCTTCTATCACCGACTGGCTTCAGCCGCTTTATTGAGGCTTTTAATCCAAATGTGCTGAAGCTTCAGTGCAGACATGACAGAAGCATCACAGCTTCCCTCACCATATCTATCTTCATTTCATCCATTTACACCCACTCGTTTTCAGCTTACTTGTAATAAATGTGTTTTTCCTTGACCTTTTTCAGAATATGTCATGGGGTCTGTCTATTTGTTTTCTTATTTCTCACCCAGATGAACACCCCACATTTATAAAAGATAGTTGTGCATTTTACCACACTGATGAGCTGAGCCAGTGACACTTGCAGTTTGACTGTGACCCTCTCTGTCCTGTTAACAGCCGGCCGGATGAGTGGGTTGTAGCGATCCTTTCCCAGCAACCAGTTCATTAGGCGCTCCTCCGAATCAGCCCCACAGATGCCTGAAATTGCAAATTTAGATTTTTTTTTTTTCCAATTCAAAAAAACGAAAAAATAAAAAAGAACAAAAAGAATGAAATGGTGAGGCAAAACTGTTTATTTTTTGTTTTTAGGTCAGTGTACTTTCTCAACACCTAAGCTTTCACATGGAAAAATTGTCAAGCTTCACATAAAGATAACAACTTAATAGATTTTTGTGGGACATTCTCACTTTTCTCAAAATGAATTTTCTTTCTGTCATAAAGATCCCCCCTACTGACACCAAACTTTACAGTTTTGTAATTTTATCCATCTGTACTGTACAGTCATTTTCATGAACTATCAGACGTTACCCATTTTTAAGATGAATTCATTAACATTTTACCAAGAAAAAATTTTCCACCAATTTTCAGTAAGATCTAGTTTCAAATACTAAATAAGACATCCAAAATCCTCTCTGTGTTTTTGTATCTAATATGTCAACAACAACAAAAAAAATAAAATGCCTTATTTAAACACAATTTTTTTTCTTACATTTATGCGGCCTAAGTAAACTACACAAAGATCTAGTTAAGATTTTTCTTCTTCACCTGCACCTGATGCTGATGAACTTTCCCATATGACACTTAAGTGTAGCCCAGCACTGGTTACACAAAAGGAAGGCAGTTCACCTGTAATGAGCTGTACTAATTGTAATAGGAAAAAAAAAAAGTTGACATATGAAGTGAGAGAAAGGTCAGATGTGGTAATAGAAACTGAAGTAAGCCACTGTAGATGAAAAGGTTACAATTTGTAGTGCCAGGGTAGTGTGAAGCATTTCAAATTAGTGATAGTGTTCTACATTAGAGTACCCACTGCATGAACTTGAACTTTCTGACTAAACCCTTTTCAGTTTCAACTGCCTTATTTCTAATAAGAGAGGTCTGGATGAGAGCCTATAATGAAGGCTAAAGCTGATGATGAAAGAAAGAAATTATTAACTCTTACATAAATTGTGACTAACAAAACAGTTTAAATGAAACACAGTGAAGATATTGAAAGTGAATATTCCACTGTGGTGGACATCTGGGTGACACCACCAGACAGTTACAGGTCAGAGCTGGGGAAAGGTGTCCCCCTCGTATGTAGCCTTTGTTTTTAAGGTAGGTTTATTTTTTAACTGTAGAGCAAACTGTAACTGATTTAATTGTTTATTTGTTGTGGTTAATATCACACTGTGGAAAGCAATAACATATCCACCAGAATAGTTACAAATGTGAACCTTTAAACTCAAGGATAATTTCATTAGTTTCCACTATTGTTAAAGTAGCCTGGGCCTAATAATTATAGCCTAAATTAATAAGCTATCGCGAGGTTTAACGAATTAGACCTAATTGCAAAAATTGATTAAATGTGCATAAGTCGTTTGAAATGTGAGGGCAACACTTACAGTAAATTAAGGAGAAAAGGTAGGCGAGGATGGAGATAGTCCGCGTCATTTTTCCTGTACCGTCAGGTCAGGGGAACTTGTGCGAGAGACCCCACCAGAGCTGTGAGCGTTCCGCGCTCAGGCATGCCGGTCTCTCCCGGTGTCTCCGCGTTCCTTGTGTGGACAGTGGTGTCCCTCTCCGTGCTGTGCTGGTGCCTGGCTCTGTCCCTCTCCCGTGGCCGTCTGCTGCGTGCTGCCTGCCCTGCGCCCAATGAACTACCGCGTGCTCCCAGAAGTGTCCGTGTCTGACCGCGCGGCTCTGCGCGCTGAGTGAGACGACCTGGTCAAAGAGCACATGCTACTGTAGCCTATTAGCCTACACCCTGTTAAAATTTGAGCTTTTCTCACAATGGGTTCTGGCTTCATTGAGGATGCTTTTAATTGAGCTTTTCTTCTTTTGGCTACATGGAATGAAGTCAAAATACATTTTCTTTTTTGCAAAATTAGGAAGTAGGCTATAATTGTCCCACTCCACGTGTGCTAATAGCCCCTTCATTAAAATAGGCTACAGACGTCGAGGAAGCCTGTGACTTGTGACTACTTGCTGACTCAATACACTGGATTGGGTCAGTGTACTTTAGGGTGAGACAGGAAAATAAATTCTTCAGCTGAAGTGAGATTTATTTGAGGTTAGGTTCAGTCAGATGAGGAGTAGAGCAATCTGACTGGAGCAGATTTACAGTGGCCCCACTGCTTAAAGCCTCATTATAATGGGCACCAGAGGACCTGTATCAGGCATGAAGAGGAGTCCCAAGGACTCGCCTGTGTGATAAATTTTAAATCCAAAGACTTCTATTGCGGATCATTGAGAGAGGATCAATAAGGGCTGATTAGTTCCTGACCCTCTCTTGTTTTAAGAGTCAAGACAATATACATTTGCCTATTTACAGCACAAGACATGTCACAAACATGTGAAGATGCAAATGTTTTGACATTTACAATTAGCCTAAATCATATCTTATGTAGCCTAAAGCAGGAGTTTGATTCACTCAAGTGTAAAATGGTATAATAAATATCCATATAACATATGGAGCTGCTGCTCTGTTAATGTTTTCTTCATGATTCAGAGGTGACATTTACTTGCATAGACGTTACAATATACCAGTCATAACAATATAAGCAACAGAGGCATAAATAATATGTTGCTTTATTTTGAATGCTTCGAAACTTGATAAACACAGAACAATACATTTTCATTTCATAATTCATGTAATGCGTTTTATGTGTTTATAGCACACACAGTTAAAACCAATTAAATTAGATTTTGGAGACTATATCTGAAGTAATGGGGCTTCGGGGAGGATGCATTAAGCCATTTGTAATGTTAGAAATAAAAGCTTTCTATGTATTTAGTTTTCTAGCTTTCTATCCTCCTGTGAATATCTAGATGATGTGCAATGTAAGGTTAACGTGGAACTAAATACTAAATACACTTCAAAACTTAGATTAGTACAAACCTAGGTTTAGGTTACGCCTGAAGTTTGTGCTGCCTTCAGTTCGAACTTAGATTTACACTGCAATTTCCAGTAGTTGGTGTCATCACTAAAGACTGTCTTGAGTACAAACATCTGTCAGCAGGGGTGGAGTTTGAAGTGTGGATACCTGTCAGACCAATCACACTGCTCCGTATACCTAGACCCAGCCCCTCCTCTTCTCTCACTCTCCCTTTTAGTCCTTCACGTACTGCCCAGTTTAGCCTCTATTTGAAATGTGGTTGTGGACAGTGTGTGGGTATTTAGATGCACTTGAATATCAGTAACATCTTATTTGACAAATAACATGTCTGTAATGTTAAGAAGACATAATACAAAAAGGAAATCAAGTAAAAACAGATAGTAGGTCTATACTTTTTCTTCAGAGGTGCACTGGGCAATTAGGATCTCAGAGGGGCACCCTCTGAGCCACACGAGGTGAACTGAAGATGTGTTGACACATGGAGTGACATGCTGTTTTTTTGGCACGACAGGCAAACGTGATGGAAGAGAAATTGCTAATCAAAGAATTGCTGCTGTTGCAGTGCCATGTTGCACCACTGCAATCTCACACTGCGAAGGATATATATCAAGAAGGCAGTTCATTACCCGAAGTGCTTGGCTCCTGTGCCACAGAGTTTCAGTTCCATGTGAAGATATTGATTCATCAGCAGCCATTGGTTGCAGAAGACCATCATGGTCATAGCTGAGGTGGGCTTTATTTAGCTCTGTGGTTATACTCACATACGGTTACCTCACAATTGTTTACTTAGAGCAGAGATACAATCAGTGTGTTTAACTTACGGGTGGGTGAGAAAGAAAAAAAATTATATCACCCAGCCCTAAGTTTATACACACACACACACACATTGAATATATATATATATATATATATATATATATATATATATATATATATATATATATATACAATGAGAAAGTTTAAAAGAAACTGCAGATATTGTATTCTCTGTTCATCATGTCTCTTAATTTCATTCACCTAAAGAAACAAATGAAGAGTCAAGCCTTAGGTGGACACCTGCAGATAGAGCAGGACCTGGTGTGACATCCTGAATGCTCTCTGCAGTGTCATATTTTACTGCACCAGTTGTGCATTAAACCACACCTGTCTCACAGCCTTACAAATCCTAGTGGGATCGATTGGTCTGCATGCCTGTGCCCTCCAGATCTCTTATTTAGATTTAGGTGATTGTCCAGCATCCTTGGTATTTTATCAATCAAAGCCTTCCACGTTAATGGTAGAATGATAAACATGGGTTTTTAATTGTATTTAATGTAGGCCTAACTGATGAACAATAAGTGCCAATCCAAAGCAGTCCTCCAGTAGTGTCTCAAGTGTCCCACAGTTCCAGTTAGCAAACACTATTGATCTCATTTGTGTCTGTGACACATTTTGCTTTGGCACTATGTTACTGACATGCAGCCTGCAATCACAGCTGACTGGAATCAATTCTTTCTGCCCTAGATGAGATCTTAATGTGCTTAGAAAGGTGTGTCTAAGAGCTCTGAAACAATGGTCTAATCGAAGCCAGGCCACGTGAACTGTGTCTATCTGTAAATCTCTTCCTGTTGGGTGAGTTGAACAGGAGGCAGTGGGAGAGCAACTGTTTACTATTCATAACACCTAATTTATATATCTTTAAATGTTTACAGGAAGCACAGAGACACTTGTGTGTGGCATTAGGCCATAAAGTACAGTAGAGACATAAAGAGGTTATTGCCTGAGGGAAAATGTAGACTGAACCGCAGTTTCTGAAGCTTGTTACAACTGCATCTAGTTATAACGAGCTATTCCACAATGCAAAAGATTCTGGCTTAGGATATTTGGCGGTGGACACTGACTGAGTATACTGACCATGCAACTCTGCTAGTATTAGAGTTTGGAAGTTAAATATCTCTCCTGGGGCTCACATAGGCACAGAGTTGTAAATGCCAATCAATGACTGGGCAGTGGACATAGAAATGACCAATATTCATTATGATTAGTTCATTTTGTGGGCTCTATATATGCATGTGTGGTCTCCAAAACAGGCCTTCAGAAATATTATCAGTGAATGAGACAATATAATTTCCAACAAAGCTTACTAAAATGTATTTGTGTTTTGGAAAGACACAAACTAGTAGCATGACATAATAGCTACTATATGTATGGGCTTGACCTGCAAATGACTGGAGAGGAACATAGGACATAGTAGATACCCTAGGTTAATGATGTCTGTATGTTTGTCTGGGATGATATGATTCAATTGGGTTTCTGTATTACGGTCAGATCAGCTCTCTGGGGACAGAGGATGCAGAATATGAAACCTATCAGTCATTAACTGCACTCCAGAGAGCAGGGGGACCTCATCATGACACATGGCTCATCCTAGGGGTGGCTCCCACATGCTGAAGTGACTGATTACAGCCTGTATGTCTGGACTTGCTGTTAATGATGCAAGGAAAAAATAATCAACCAACCACAGGCAGCGTGGTTGGTTGTTACTCCAAAATAAGTGAAACAGATTGGATAGAAAGCAATCATCCACATGCAAATGTATCCATCTATCAATTAATCAGTAACAACAAAGTGGCAGATTGGAATCCAATTTCAAGTAAGTTTTCTGTCTTGTTTCCTATAATTAATTTGACATCTATTTCATTACATTGTGAAATTGTCCAGTATAAAAAAGTCCATACGTGATCACCACATATTAGTCTGATAACATGAATGTAGATTATCGGTGTGTTTAATCTATCCTTTTTTTTTTTCCCTCCAATATGGTGCATTATTATCAACATAAGTTGAAAAATGCATGTTGTCAGGTTCATGCCCCACCTCTGCTGCTGTTATCCTGGTGAGCACTGCTGACAGTTGTGTTGAGGCCGCAGGTAGAGGTAAATTGGATTGGCCATTGTACACAGTGTTCCAGATGGCATGTTACTCCCTCTGAGACCCTGTCCCTTTTAAAGTCTATCTGTGATCCCACATGCAGGTGGAAAAAGTTGTCGGCCACTTACAGCGTTCTGCTACAGCACCATATGTTCAGGGTTTGTTGCATTGTAATTCCTCTTTCATCAAACCTCCAAAGACTAAAAAAAACAGTAGGCTTAGGACCTGGCCAGGCCAAGTTAGACACAGACTAAGTGAACTTTTTAGTACATCTGTTATGGTGTTACAGATATTTCAGCTGGTGGCAGACCCACGCCAAACAAATTACAATGCAAGGTGTATTCTGACACCGGAATAAGAACAAACCTTTAATTTATTATTTTTCTTACCTTATTATTCACTCCCCACATGCATGACTTTGGTGCCTGCTCATCACTGGTTTTCCCTTCAGCCTTTTATTTGTTAGACTTGTTTGTTTTGTTAATTTTAAACTCCAATATTGATCCTAAATAGCTTAATAGCAACAAGCCCAATGATTTCTTATTCAAAAATGCAGAACTGATTTTGACTTTTTGAACCCAGAGCCTGATTTTTTTTTTGCAATTGCAATAAAGTACAAAGCACTGGGTGGAAAAAGGGGTAGGTGACTGGT